GTGGGCGGTAGGGACCAGGTTGACGACCCATGCCCTAAACTGATCATATCTCTTGAAGTTATCTGATTCTTATAACTCTATGTGTTACACTGCATTGCTTGTCTGTCTCCTAATTTTGATTTAGCTAAAATTGCTTTTATTCATCTGATTATCAGTTTACAAGGAAAGGCTTTAATTGATTTATCTCCACATGTATTTTCTCTGTCAAAATTTTCAATCAACAAATTTAATTTCTCATTTGCTTTTGATTTGATATCTCGGATACAATATCTGCAAGATCTTAAATAATGTTGTTTATTGCACCAAAAACAAATCATTTTAGGAGTTATATTCTGCCTTTGATAATCAACTGTGCAGTTTCTAGCTGAACACATTGGGAGGGGCTCAGTTGTCTGTATCACTCTTTTACACTGAGTCCTAGAAGAAGGAGGAGGAGGGGGACGAGGGGTGTAAAATCTGCGCTTCTTTCTCTGCCTAATTCCACAAGTCATTTTAACCCCTTCATTATTGGTTACCCTCCTTAAGTTATCCAAGAACAAAGCTACTTCTGTCAAAGTGCTTTTTTCTCTAGCTAACACAATTGCAGTTGGATCTAGATCTTGACATTTTTTCACAAATTCATTAATTAACCGATCTTCAGAAAAATCAGCAACAAGTCTATATGCACTTTCAAATTTTACAAGAAAACTAAATATATCCTCCTCCTTGTGTGGTTTTAGTTTTTCCAACAAATCATTCCCTGTTGTTAATTTTATTAATTGTGTTAATCTGTCTTGCTTATTTCCATATATTATTTTATCATTGTCCTCACATTTTACAGGCACGGTCAGTCTACATGCCATTTGAGTCGGCAGCCATATTTTAAATAGTCTATTCCTTTGTTCATCATTAAGGCTGTATTTGTCCAAATGTGACTCAAACATTTCAGCATTAGTAAATGCACCCACTGACGTGTCATAAACTGGAATAGATTTCACAATTTTCATGAATTGTTCATGGATTTTCAAATTAAGTTTTGCAGCTCTGTCTTGAAATTCACATTTCTGCAAATCACTCTGTGAGGATAAATTTTCAGTATCTATTGGTTCT